AGGAGGAGGAGGAGGAGGAGGAGGAGGAGGAGGGGGTGGGCGGGAGGGGGGAGGAGGAGGGAGGGCGAAGGCGCTCGACGCGAAAGCGCTCGGAGAAACGGCGGTTTAGTCTTGTTGAGTGAGATGGAGGGGCTTGGGGGAGTGAATAAGTGCAACGCACGGCAAATTGCAATTATGGACGGGTGTTTTGCACGTGGTGAAGGTGATGCCACCGTCGCTGTAGGCTCATCGGCAGCCCCTCTCCGGTGTGTTGCCGGCATACAGTAGTAAGCTTGGATTGATGACGTTTCGACCCATTGTGTTTATGTTATGTCATGTGTCCTTTGGTTCTGGTGTGTGGTTTGTTTGTGTTATTTCGCGACATTCGCCCAAGGTCAAATGTCTCGGACTTGTCGCCGACGCATTGAGAAGTTCGGAGTTACTTGTAGCTTGGGGGTTTGTCCCCAAGTACTAGCCGTAGTACTTAAAAAAATTGAACACCAACTACTACTACTGTATTATTGCAGATGAAGTAGGTTTCACAGCCCATTACAGCTATTGTACGAAGTACTTGGCAATCTCCTTCCGGCGCCGGATGTACACACCATCAATTAGGTCAAACTCCTCAAGCAACCTACTACCTGGTAACTAGGTATGCAATGCAATGGAGAGGGAGGAAGCCAAAAACAAAGCACGTACAAAAAAAATGTACCACGAAAAAAAAGAAAACTCTAACATTCGCAGGGGCGGGGGCGTTCTCAACCAGCGAAAGCAAAAATAGAGTTACTTGCTCCCACGGTGACTACAGACAAAGAACAGCAACAATAGCCTAGGGAAAGCTAGCATCCGTTACTGCTGACGATGCCAAATAAATGTTGTGGGATTACACGCACGCGTACCGATCGCTGAAGACCCTGCATGATGAAGACTCACTTGTTTAGAATACCAATCTCTTGGAACAGCAGTGCTTGCTGTTGCTTTGCTCTCAAAGGTAGACTGAGCACAGAGGGGGAGGACATGTTCCCTCAAGAAGGGGCCACAAAGAAAGATCATGTCCCCTGTTTTATCCTTCCATCGGGAGTTACATCTCCCGCAGTTTCCTTTGGGAATTACTCCGCAACGAGGATACCGTTGACACTTGCACTGGCTACACAATTCAAATCCCAATGGGGGGGGGGGGTGCCGGATTTGTTTTTTTGTCCGCCCTTCCTTGCTGGTGGAAATCTGCAGATCTTGGCTTCCGCAAATGTCAGGCAACTGACTTTTGAGCTACTGTACGTACGCCTAAGCCCTAAGCCTCGACCAAAGCCTCAACCGTGGGTTCACTGGCACAGAGGCCCGCCCCCCCTGTTCTCTCTACAGAATGCTCTGCTGCTGGGCGACCTTCTACCCACGACGCAGTCATCATGTCGTCCCCTGCTGTTCCTGCTGCACCATCAGCTAGCGTGGGCCAGCAGGTAGGCAGCCCCTTTCTGAAGAACAGTAACGAGATTTACATTCGCCTACACCGACTGCAGTGGTATGCTCTGCTGCAGGCTGCATTTAAGTGGTGGGATAATCCTGGTTGCCATTACGTACAGCAGGTGGCATTGTACATCGACAGTCAAGTCTACACCGATGATGCAATAATTCCTCCGCAAAACCAAAGGAGTGCTCTTGTGTGCTCTCTGCCCCGCACCCACCACTCAACTACGCCCACTCTGCTGGCATTCTTGTGTGTGTGGGGTTCTGCCGGTCCCTAGGGCTCGGCCATGTCTGCTGGAGCAGCAGCCGGTGGTGGAACACCAGTTCGCTCCCAGAGAGAGGTGAGGTATCTCCAGTACTGAGGATGGCGGATTTCGGATGTTCGAGGACATTTCTGCAGAGCGTTCGTTGCAGCTCGTCCTGCACCCCCATCCCCGTATTGGAAGCCTCTCGGTAACCTCCTGAGAGTTGGGCTGTGCTTGTCATACATAGCGGGTACCGGAATGCAGCGGTAGTTGCCCTGCATTAACAACTCTCACCTCCACGGCTCTCACCTCCACGGCTCCACACCAGTGCACCGCGGGATGGCAGAATTCCTCTGTGGCCGTATATTCACGTCATGTACGTGCGATAGTACCCCATAAGCCGGATGGTGATAGGATGGAGAAAAGCAGGAAGCATATTGCCAACATACCTTGCTTTTGCAGGTCAGATCGATAGACAGGGATGTCTTAGAGTATCCCCGTCGGCATTCCCCGACCCCGAGTCAGCAGCGGCAAAATCTGAGACACTGCTGTGCATAGACTACATCATCAGCCCCGCGGGCCTTCTTTTTTTGTTTTATTGTTTTCTTCCGAATTGCATTTATTAATATTTTCTACCGCCCGAGGGAAGAGAGAGATACCAAACTGGCAGAGAGCACGTTTCCCGCAGACACGTCTTTGCGGCCTTTCTATCGTGCCTTTGCCTCTCTCCCAATAAAGACTGTCTCTCTCTTCCCTCCAAACAGCAACTGAGGGTGCTCTCTCCTGCGGTGGAGGGAACCAATCTTACTGCACACAGTAGTCTCAGATGACCAAGTCCCTAAAATGGTACCCTACCATTTTCTTCGCCAACATCGAGGTCATCATGACACTACTCGTGCAGTGGGATTAGCTCCTGTTACTGCCTACCTACCGCACACAGTGCTTTCCCCCGATTGCCTCCCGACTCGCTATGTCATACCGAACGGGACACCCCTTGCGAGTCCTCTACTGTGGGTGGCTCCTACACATTCCTCTGAATTCATCTTCCCGTCCTTCGGGATACTCGTTCCAATGTGTTGCCCCCAACAGCCATATACAGCAAATTCCCAAATCCTTAGCTAAATGGTGCAGCGCGCGTTAGTTTCTGGGATTCACCCCTATTTCGTAACTATTTGCCTCGAAGCTCCGCGGGCTTGGGCATACTTCAGAACTTGCACTGCACAACCTTTAACTACAACCTTTAACTACAGTAAGACAGGATGTTAACGGCGCGTCATCGGGCAACGTTGCACAACATGACAACGACTCCACTTACTGTCAGCTCCAGAGGCTGGCACACCACTAGAAGCCTTGTATGTGACCACCTCGCTAGTTGTCTCTGCGATACTCTCTCTCTGGCACGCTAAGACTCTGTGGACACAAGGCTTGAACAGAATGGTAACACATGCGACTCCTCCTCTCGACCGAGGGGGCCCCGCAGTACGCAATGCGTTCCGGGTACCCCAATATAAACAGTATGGCAATTCGAGTTGTTTCAATAAACCTCGGTTTATTTTGTCTACGCCTTTGTCTACGCCTTAAACAAACCTGCCCATTTTTCTCCGACCGCATATCAAGGGCTCAAATCTGTGATATATCAAGGACAGGATTCCCTGAAGACCTCTCTCAACGATAGGCCGAGGTTGGAGAGGGAGGCGATGCGTGTGTGTGCCACAACGGTGCCGAGTACTTGCAGGTGGACCACCAGCGGTCGACCTGCCATTATGTGGCAATGGGCAGCGACCCGCGGGGAGACTGAGCCTACGGTACTGCTGTTAGCTCATGCTCCAGCACTGGTGGTGACGGTTAAAAAACGAGGGTTCATGCGTAAACTATCCCCGCGTGATAATCTGTCCGTGCCCCTGGTTTTGTGTCACAATGCATGGGGGTGAACGACTAGGGTTGTCCCACCGAGGCCTGGTGATACCAAGCGACTGTTGGACACGATGTCCTACCGCGTGAAGGTCTTTCTCGGGGGTCGGGAAAGGTGGTTTCGCCTTGATTAGTTATCACCCACTGCACGGTTTTGCTCGTGGTGACGGTTGACACGGCAGCGCACCCCTTCCTCTCTCCGCTGTCGTGTGGTGCAGGCACTTGCGGAAGCTGCCAGACGCATGGAAGCCGAAACGCCGTGGTTCGAGAAGCTGGGCTTACGGTACCAGGACGTGGCGGATGGGGGCGGCGACTTGACTGTGGAGACCATCCTCGCTTTCAACGTCGCGAGCGGCCTGATCAATGCAGCCAACGAGACCGTCCTCGCCCCCGTGTTCGTCGTGCTCAAGGGACTGCTGGGTGCCGTCCAGGGCGCTGCGGCGGCTCGAGAAGAGATCGTTGAGCTCGCTCGGTACTGCGTGGCCATGTCAAGGTGCCTGCTTGATGCTGCCAAGGCGGACGTCATGCCCGAAACAATCAAGTCAACGCTTGAAGAGTTCAAGGGCGAGATGGAAGCGGTGGGCAGGTTTGTCCAAACTTACGGCACCCGATCGAGCGGCTGCTGCTGGCGCAGGATGGTGCTCAACGCTCACGATCGCGACACCGCTGCTGGCCACAAGCGGAAACTGAAGGATTTACTAGATGCGGTGCTTGCGGGTCTCGCCGCTCAGACCAACCAGGGGCTTAACCAGATCAAGGGTATGATTCTTGCCAGGGACCCCCCAAGTCTAGGTGCTCTGGCCGAGATTCCTCGCGAGGCACCTGTCCTGCCCACGACCTACGTGCAAAGGACGGCCATGTTGGAGGAAGTGGTAGATGACCTGACACACCCTCATCGTTCAGCTTCTGCTACGCACTGTCTATTGGGGATGGGCGGCGGGGGCAAGACGCTGATCGCCTCGTCCGTGGTGCGAGATGACCGCGTGCGAGCCCGCTTCAAGCGCGGCATATTTTGGGTGCCCGTGGGGCGCGAGGGCAAGGACGTGGCGCTGCTCCTGGAGCACCTAGCAGTTGAGCTATCGAGGGTACCCACGGATACGCCACGCAGCTGCCCGAACAGGTTTAGCGGTGCAGAAGAGGCTCTCCGACACCTGTCTTCCGTTTGCGCTGAGGACGGCCTGAGGTGTCTGGTTGTGCTGGACAACGTGTGGAATGTGGAGGTGGTGAACGCCTTCGCGAGCACGGGCTTTCATGTCCTCGTCACCACTCGTCAGCGGGCGGTGATATCTGCTGTGCACGCTGGGGTGTGGACGGAGGTCGGGGACATGTCGGAGGAGGATGCGTTGGAGGTCTTGAGCAAGGCGAGTCAAGCCGACGGACCACTGCCCGCAGAGGAAGCGCGCCAGGTGCGGGTTCAATCGTCGTTACTCGCATGTCTTGGTATTTTGGTGAAACTCGAAGGCATGACACAGTTAGTTCTAGCCTCCGAACCAGTGCGGGGTTGTGTCGATGTCGATGGTCATCTCGAACAGAGTTCTGCGGGTGTGTGCTCTCCACCTGACGTCAAAGCAGTTAAAGTTGACGGGGTCCCCGCCTGCTGGACACCTGCGTCTGTCACAAGGTTAGTTGAAATCCGATAGCTGGCGGCGTTAGGGTTACCAGGTCGTGTGTTGCGGCCGGTTTTTCAAATGTTGCTTTTGCTTTTCCCGCGATGTTCCTTTTCCAGGTGGCGCTCGACTGTGGAATGCTGCCGTTGGCCTTAGGCATGATCGGAGCTCTAGCGAAGGACCAACCTCTTGATCCGTTGTCGTGGCGAGCTGTGCACAAGAAGCTGCAAGAAAAGCGTGCAATGTTCCGTGATGTGGAGAACGGGAAGCTGTTCTCCACCATGGACACAAGCGTGTGCAACCTGCCCTCTAACCAGCGGGAACAGCTTCAGTTGATGGCGGTCATGGCTTTCTGGAGTCGCCGCAACCTCGGAAATGCTCGCAAACCTGTGGGACCAGGTTCGTTTGATTCGATGCAAGCGAAGTCCTCGTTTCCGGGTGTTGAGTTTAACGAATGTGATTATCACCGCCGTTGCCTCGAAGGTCGCAGAGTCTTGAGCTTGTACTGCGCGCGCCTTTGGTTGGCTGTGCTTCTGTATTGCATAGAGTTGGTGTCCCATCGACACCTGTACTGGTTCCTCACGGCTGGTTCTCTCCGTTGTTGTCGACATGACATCTCCCTCTCGGGGACGTTGTTGGTTCCGGATCTCTAACCTGAACTGCATGCAGGACATCAGCGACGTTTCGACTGGTGCGAGCATTTTGGTGGACCGATGCCTGCTCCAAGATATGCCCGACGGCTACCGTCTCCACGACCTGGTGCTCGATTACCTGCAGCTCATCGTGACCATGGGCGGTGGTCGTCTAGCGGGAGAAGCAAGCTCGCGGCAGGCTCGGTACCTGGCGAGGCTCGGGGTATTCAGGCAGTACAATGCTCGCGGTCATAACGTCAGCACCGGCGGGTTATATTCTCTCGTTGCCCTTTGGAACTCGGCGAAGAACCTTGATGGGAGTGTAAACGCGGATGCTTGCTATTCGAAAAGCTTGGAGGGCGTGAAGGACATCGGAATCACGAGAGAGGTGGCATGGCTGCTCTTGTTGCTGGTGAGCACGTTGTCACGGTATTGTTTTTGGCTGATCTGCCCTACGTGGACCTTTGTCTTCAGCATCGCAGTACTTCGTTTGTATGCTTATGTAGAGACCCTCCGTTGAATGTGAACCCCGTGCATACAGGGAAGCTACTCTGGTGCGGAGGCCATACTCAGGAAGGTCTTGGAGGGAGCTGACGAGAGAGCGGACGAGCTCGCTGAGTTTGGATTCGCGCTGGGTACCCTAGCGACAGCGCTTCAACATCAGGTGCGCCTTGGCAAGTTTTTTCAAACTTCCCGCCAGATACGGGTGCTTTCTTGCGCGAACGGTGTACCAATTTCCGATCTTCGCTACGGCTCTTCCGTGCCTCTGTTTGGGGGGCGCAAGAGCAAGCTACCGCGATTGTCACGGGTTAGGGTTTAGGGTTACGGAAACGTGGTGTTGCGTTGTTCTGCTCATTTTGACACGCTGCACGCGCGTACGTTTGTTGGACAGGGCAAGCTCGATGAAGCGAACCCTCTCCTGGTGCGAGCTATCGAGATCCAGAAGCGAGCTCTTGGCCCCGATCATCCGAGCGTCGCCATCAGCCTCGGCACCCGGGCAAACGTCTTGAAAGCACAGGTGCGTTAGTATGTCGGGGAGACCCCTGTCGTTGATGAACGCGACATGTATGTGAACATTCGGTGAAGCTTTGAATCATCATTTCGATGGGCAGAATGACGGCGAAGAATGGTTTGATTTGTGTTGGTGGAAGCATCTGCCATGTTTCGGGTTGTATTGGCTGAGTGTTTCTGTCTCAGGCACCATCTGGCATGGGGGAGTTCTTGGCAAGGTGTGCGTCGTGTTCTGCATCACGACGAGAAACTCTGATCCTGCAACACCCTGATTTCATCTCGAAGGGCAAGTACGACGAGGCGGACCGGCTGTACCTGAGGTGTATCGAGATTGAGGAGAAACGTCTGGGCCCCGACCACCCTGAGCTTGCTGCAAGCCTCAACAACAGGGCGGGACTCTTGAAAGCACAGGTACAGCAGCGGTTGTTTCTTGACGTGCGGTTTGTGGGACATGGCACGTACTCGACCACTCATTGCATCATTGCCTGTATTGACCAAGGGTCTGGGACCGACACCTGGATGTCGGACTTGTGTCTGTGGTGGTGACATGGTGTGCCGACGTGAAGGTGGTATTGCGTGTTCCTGCTCATTTTGACATGCTGCACGCGCGTACGTTTGTTGGACAGGGCAAGTTCGATGAAGCAGATCCCCTCCTGGTGCGAGCTGTCGAGATCCAGGAGCGAGCTCTTGGCCCCGATCATCCGAGCGTCGCCAACAGCCTCGGCACCCGGGCGATTGTGTTGGAAGCGCAGGTGCGTTAGTATGTCTGACTCCTGTCGTTGATGAACGTGACACGTATGTGAACATTCGGTGAAGCTTTGCATCATCATTTCGATGGGTAGAATGACAGCGACGAGTGGTTTGATTTGTGTTGGCGGAAGCATCTGCCATGTTTCGGGGTTGTATTGGCTGAGTGTTTCTGTCTCAGGCACCATCTGGCTTGGGGGAGTTCTTGGCAAGGTGGGTGTTGTGTTCTCGATCACCATGGAAAGCTCTGCTCCTGCAACACCCTGATTTCATCTCGCAGGGCAAGTACGACGAGGCGGACCGGCTGTACCTGAGGTGTATCGAGATTCAGGAGAGAGGTCTGGGCCCCGACCACCCGGATCTTGCTGCAAGCCTCAACAACAGGGCGGGACTCTTGAAAGCACAGGTACAGCGGCAGTTGGTTCTTGACGTGCGGTTTGTGGGACATGGCACGTACTCGACCACTTATTGCATCACTACCTGTTTTGGTAAAGGGTGAGGGACCGACACCTCGGATGTCGGACTTGTGTCTGTGGTGGTGACATGGTGGGCCGACGTGAAGGTGGTATTGCGTGTTCCTGCTCATTTTGACATGCTGCACGCGCGTACGTTTGTTGGACAGGGCAAGTTCGATGAAGCAGATCCCCTCCTGGTGCGAGCGATCGAGATCCAGGAGCGAGCTCTTGGCCCCGATCATCCGAGCGTCGCCATCAGCCTCGGCACCCGGGCGATTGTGTTGGAAGCGCAGGTGCGTTAGTATGTCTGACTCCTGTCGTTGATGAACGCGACGCGTATGTGGCAGAATGACAGCGAAGAATGGTTTGATTTGTGTTGGCGGAAGCATCTGCCATGTTTCGGGTTGTATTGGCTGAGTGTTTCTGTCTCAGGCACCATCTGGCATGGGGGAGTGCTTGGCAAGGTGGGTGTTGTGTTCTCGATCACCATCAAGAGAAGCTCTGCGCTTGCACCACCCTGATTTCATCTCGCAGGGCAAGTACGACGAGGCGGACCGGCTGTACCTGAGGTGTATCGAGATTAAGGAGAAACGTCTGGGCCCTGACCACCCTGAGCTTGCTGCAAGTCTCAGCAACAGGGCGGGACTCTTGAAAGCACAGGTACGGCGGCAGTTGGTTCTTGACGTGCGGTTTGTGGGACATGGCACGTACTCGACCACTCATTGCATCACTACCTGTTTTGGTAAAGGGTGAGGGACCGACACCTCGGATGTCGGACTTGTGTCTGTGGTGGTGACATGGTGGGCCGACGTGAAGGTAGTACTGCGTGTTCCTGCTCATTTTGACATGCTGCACGCGCGTACGTTTGTTGGACAGGGCAAGCTCGATGAAGCGGATCCTCTCCTAGTGCGAGCTATCGAGATCCAGAAGCGAGCTCTTGGCCCCGATCATCCGAGCGTCGCCAACAGCCTCGGCACCCGGGCGATTGTTTTGGAAGCGCAGGTGCGTTAGTATGTCTGACTCCTGTCGTTGATGAACGCGACACGTATGTGAACATTCGGTGAAGCTTTGCATCATCATTTCGATGGGCAGAATGACAGCGACGAGTGGTTTGATTTGTGTTGGCGGAAGCCTCTGCCATGTTTCGGGGTTGTATTGGCTGAGTGTTTCTGTCTCAGGCACCATCTGGCATGGGGGAGTTCTTGGCAAGGTGGGTGTTGTGTTCTCGATCACCATGGAAAGCTCTGCTCCTGCAACACCCTGGTTTCATCTCGCAGGGCAAGTACGACGAGGCGGACCGGCTGTACCTGAGGTGTGTCGAGATTGAGGAGAGAGGTCTGGGCCCCGACCACCCGGAGCTTGCTGCAAGCCTCAACAACAGGGCGGGACTCTTGCAAGCACAGGTACGGCGGCGGTTGTTTCTTGACACACGGTTTGTGGGACATGGCACGTACTCGACCATTCATTTCATCATTACTTGTAGTGACAAAGGGTGAGGGACCGACACCTGGATGTCGGACTTGTGTCTGTGGTGGTGACATGGTGGGCCGACGGAAGGTGGTACTGCGTTGTCCTGCTCATTTTGACATGCTGCACGCGCGTACGTTTGTTGGACAGGGCAAGTTCGATGAAGCGGATCCTCTCCTGGTGCGAGCTGTCGAGATCAAGGAGCGCGCTCTTGGCCCCGATCATCCGAGCGTCGCCATCAGCGTCGGCACCAGGGCGAGTGTGTTGGAAGCACAGGTTCGTTAGTATGTCGGGGAGACCCCTGTCGTTGATGAACGCGACACGTATGTGAACATTCTGTCAAGCTTCGCATCATCATTCCGATGGGTAGAATGACAGCGACGAGTGGTTTGATTTGTGTTGGTGGAAGCATCTGCCATGTTTCGGGTTGTATTGGCTGAGTGTTTCTGTCTCAAGCACCCATCTGGCTTGGGGGAGTTCTTGGCAAGGTGGGTGTCGTGTTCTCGATCACCATGGAAAGCTCTGCTCCTGCACCACCCTGATTTCATCTCGCAGGGCAAGTACGACGAGGCGGACCGGCTGTACCTGAGGTGTATCGAGATTCAGGAGAAACGTCTGGGCCCCGACCACCCGGATCTTGCTGCAAGCCTCAACAACAGGGCGGGACTCTTGAAAGCACAGGTACGGCGGCGGTTGGTTCTTGACACACGGTTTGTGGGACATGGCATGTACTCGACCACTCATTGCATCACTACCTGTATTGACCAAGGGTCTTGGAGAGGTACCTTGATGTCGGACTTGTGTCTGTGGTGGTGACATGGTGGGCCGACGTGAAGGTGGTATTGCGTGTTCCTGCTCATTTTGACATGCTGCACGCGCGTACGTTTGTTGGACAGGGCAAGCTCGATGAAGCGGATCCCCTCCTGGTGCGAGCTGTCGAGATCCAGGAGCGAGCTCTTGGCCCCGATCATCCGAGCGTCGCCAACAGCCTCGGCACCCGGGCGATTGTGTTGCAAGCACAGGTTCGTTGGTATGTCGGGGAGACCTCTGTCGTTGATGAACGCGACACGTATGTGAGCATTCGGTGAAGCTTCGCATCATCATTCCGATGGGCAGAATGACAGCGACGAGTGGTTTGATTTGTGTTGGTGGAAGCCTCTGCCATGTTTCGGGTTGTATTGGCTGAGTGTTTCTGTCTCGGGCACCATCTGGCATGGGGGAGTTCTTGGCAAGGTGGGTGTTGTGTTCGCGATCACCACGAGAAGCTCTGCGCTTGCACCACCCTGATTTCATCTCGCAGGGCAAGTACGACGAGGCAGATCGACTGTACCTGAGGTGTATCGAGATTCAGGAGAGAGGTCTGGGCCCCGACCACCCGGATCTTGCTGCAAGCCTCAACAGCAGGGCGGAACTCTTGCAAGCACAGGTAGGGCGGGACTATTGGGGCAACAGGGACGTCGGTAGCACAAGGGGTTGTCATCGAGAACCACACATTGACCTGGAACGGCGAGACTTTCTTTTGCAACTCGAAGGCCTGTCGTTCACTCAAAAGGCCAAATTTCCGTGGAAATCTGAACGGGAGATTACGAGAACCCGCACGGAGTGCTCATGTAAATCATTGCGAAGATTCCCGTCGTTTTGATCCCGCCCCAAGTGGGCGGTGTTGGCCATTGCAGGACATCGGCTCGGTCTCGAAAGGGGTGCATGACGAGAGAGGCGAATGAATGCACCTTCCCGAGACCAATCAGAACAAATTAGTTTCACCTCCACTCCGTGGGCGCCTCTCCTCCCACCCATTTTATTTCTCCAGGGGAAGATCAACGAGGCGAGGTCGCTCTGGCAGAGAGCCCTCGACATTCTAAGGGGCTCTCTCGGAGAGGGACACCAGTACACCAAGATGGTTTTGAAGTCACTGGAGGGGTTGGATGGAGAACAGGTTGGTGCCTTTTTGCGCAACCAGTTGCCTTTACCCCACCGGACGCTAAGTTTCTCCTCTTAGAACGAGTCAGGATGCGCGGTTTAATTCCGATTTTCACCGAGACGACCTTGTTTGTTGCGTGCGTTGGGGTGCTGATCTTGAGACGTTCGGAGCTTCTGTCTCGGCAACGCTGGTGTCAATCTCGCGTCATTGCGCATGTTTGGACTACACACAAGAAACGAAGTACTTACTGTAGAGGATACTGTCGTGATAGTTGCACTGAAATTGGACAGCAGGATGAACCAGACCTCCGAAGGTGGGAAAATTCCCATACGTTGCCTAGCGCCTCTGCATGCGATATTTTGTTCTCAGGCGGGCGATATCTATGTACTGTGTGCCGCCCATCAGCTGCAGCTGGACGTGGTAGAGTCGTGGAAGACCATGTAGCTGCATTGGTTAGCCGTAGCACATATATCTGGAGAGACAACGACCGCTGAATGAAGTAAGACCAACGCCTTGCTATGGTAATGGACTGGTGTGCCTGAAATCCTATCGGTTTCAGGTGGAAGGTTCGGAGTGAAGAAGTGCTGGAGATTTGGCGATGCAACGCCTCGGTTCCGTTTTCCCGTGCGGGGTTATCCTCGACAGAGGCGTCGGAGGCGCCGGAGAGAAGCATGTGCGAAGTGTAGGCATCTCGGAGGTCTGCGCGTCTTTGCCGATGCTTCGCTATTGCTCAGCAGCTCGGGCTGGTCGCTGCGTACTTTAGCCCCACCACAGCAGTGTACTATGGCACTATGGCCGGGTGGATGAGGCTGTGGCCAAATTCGACGATGTCGTTGTCGCAGAAGTGAAAATGTGTATTTCCACTGTATGGCTGGGAGATGAAGCATGTAGTCTGTGGTGGGCAGTCTTGAAGACAGCATGCGTAGTTTCCGAATGAGCCATTCAGCATCTTTCGCGGATGTGCGGTGGGCTCTCGTTGTCGATGTATTGCCCCGATGTCGATAATATTTGGCGTCCGTTCATGGTGACCCCCTAGTCCTACGTATGTTGCTGTGTTTATTTGTTGTCTGGCATTGTGACTGTGAGAGTGTATGACTTGCAGCCCCGTTTATTGCTTGGATTGTTGGCTTACACCCATGTACAGTATGCAAATAGCGCTTGCTGTTGACATTCGTTTCGCAATGATTCGTGAGTAATGAATGCTGTTCGGGAGTTTACGCTCGATGTGAGCGGCTGCTGTGCAGCGTTCATTTTTGGGTGGGAGGCAGAACAGCCTTTGGTGTGGGACATCTCACGGGAAGAAGACTTGAATGATGGTAGATATCATTCGGGCGGTGTGATACAGACCGTACAACTGGGGTGTGGGCAGACTGTGTGTAGGTTATCGATGATCATGGTCAATCATTGCATGATCGTGGCGCTCACCTTGGTCACGACAGACGGGAGGCCAAGGTGGGGAAATATAGACAGCGCAGACTGACCTCAAAGCAAATGCGCACGAACGGACAGAATTCAATGAGCGGTAAAGATGCTCGTACCGGCTGCCGGGGATTGCGGAGTGTCGGAGCAAAGGCCTCCTTGGTGTTTCTTTTATGGTCTTGCCCTTTCAAATAGTCCAAGCCAGGGTAGCTTGGCTGTGAGAGAGAGTAGTCGGGGTGAGCGCGGCGGGCAGCAGCACACGAACAGCAGTTGCTGGTGGTGTGTGCCTTTTCGGCCTCCGAAGTTCGAAGAAGGGCGACGAAGGGTGAGTTGTCCCGCACACAACTTCCGCCGCTTCCGGCGTTTCGGGGAAATAAAGCTCGGGTCTCCCCACCGGAAGCCTGCCTTCGGCACCCCGCCCCGTCTCGGTCCCGGCGAGGTCCGCGAGAGCCCGCCCATACCCGCGCCGACGCGGAAGATCGGGTCGAAAACATTTAAGCGCGACGGCGAACGGGGCCCCCGAAATTTTGAATAGGAAATAGAGTTGAGGGGCCGAACTTCACCCCCCCCCCCCCCTCCGGCCGAGGCCGTTGAGCCCGGGCGCCGGTGGTCTGGGGTCCCGGTCGGCAGTTCGAGGGGCGAATCCTCGCAAAGTTTCGTCCCGGGGTCGATTTGTGGCGGGGGCGAGCCGAGAACGGGTCGGATTTGGAGTACTCTACTAAAAGAACGGTAGTTTCAGATTTGTAACTGCTTCTCCGGACTCTCAAGATTTTTCTTTGGGCTGTAAGAAGACTTTGCACTGATTGCCTCCAGCTGTCGGGCCAGTGGTCGGGCCAGTCGTGGCCTGCGGTGTCGAACAGCCCGGCAAAAGACGTCAGCTTCAACCAAAAACGTACGCGGTGACAAGCTGTTTCTGATCTGATGTTGAACGATGCGTGTACGTGTCTGCACATGCCAAGAACAGCTGAGCGTTGGCGCGCGGCAGCTGTCAGAGCGGCTGTGGAGCGAGCGTGTACGTGTGGGCGGGGCACGAGAGGGGGAAAGAGAATATGCATATGCACAGGAGTAGCGTTCCCAGCGTATATACAGCAAGCAAGGCGGACCGAAGCATCATCACGGTATTGAGATTGTGTCCCAATAACGTTGTGCCAATCACTACATAACATGTACGGGAGAGAGATCGGTTTGAACGGTCCGCCACAAGACGTCAGTGCCACCGCTAGCCGCTGTGAACAGCTGCAACCAACAATGTAAGCGGTGACAGCTGTTTCTGGCACATGCCAGCAACAAGTGATTGGCCACGTAAAAATATCCAAAGAGCGAGCAGGTCACATATTACTGCGTAGAAGTACAGCTCAACGGCGATTTGTCATTTAGGGGCAGAAACCACGGCCGAAGGAAGACCCCTTGTCGACAGGATGCAACGTCAAGTCGCATACTTTTTTTCTGTTCAGTTCTGTCAGACGAGGGCGGAGACACTGCTGTCTGATCTTGCCTCATCCCCACCGGAGTTTTCAGACATCATGATGCCACGGGCACTACCTGATACTATTGTCACGCCGGAAACGCACATGTAACTATACTACGTAGTTTGTTCTCTTCTCCGCCCTTTCGAGGGTGGGTGTGTGGCGTGTGGTGGATAAAACACTGCTTTCCTGCTTGATGACGTCGCTCAAGTCCTTCTGCTGGCCATGATTCCGACTACCTGTGCTGAACTACATTATACGTACAGTAGTAAGCAGCCTCATGCAGTTTCCAGCAGCAGGCGAGCCATGGATGTATGTCGTGGCGGTGTCAGCAGACATGTGGATCAATGCACACCATCTGCAGACCCCCGAGCCTGAGGTCGGGAGGTCGGCACGCACATATGTTTACATGCGGCACACACACTTACACTGACCTATTACACAGTAAAACAAGCGCGCGGCATGTGGGCTTTCAACCAACAAAAATCCGGAAAATAGGTATTTTTTGCAGCCAAGTACCTGCATCCTTTATTGATGAAAACAACTCGCGCCCACCTCCTCAAAACCACGGGCTTACTCGGTATTTTTTTCCCGCCGTCAAAATACTGCCTGTTGCGGCAACTCCAAGACTGCAGTCGCTGTACAGCTATTTCCTTCAGCTGCAGCTACAAAATAGCTGGCATGTGATTCGAGGTCAGGTGGCAAACACAGAATGAATGTGGTATCCACACAGACGCCCAAGCTGACTTTACCTGACGGTTACAGACTTGGCAACGCCTTCACAATACCGCATAAACCCATGCAGTAAATTAGAGTCGTTCTTGGTACTGCAAGCACTCGAACAGGTGGTACCGGTATACCGCGGCTTTACCGCCGCTTTTGGGTTTGCCGCCACCGCCAAAGTCGATACCGCCGAAAAACGCAATATCGCCAACCGCCAACACAAACACAATACCGCCGTATGGCGTTGCCACCGAGAAAATACCGCATTTTTCTTGTGTGACCGCCACCGCCAAAGTCGATACTACCAACACACGCATTACCGCCTACCGCCAAAACAGTCGCCGCCTATGGTTATACCGCCGAAAAACGTTACCGCCATATAGGTACATCACCGCCGACCGACGGGCTGAGTGGGTAGAGGCCTTGTCTCGTCGAAAGCACAGTGTAAGGGCAGCCCAGGAGCTCGAGTCCAGGGGTGGACTTGTTGTTTTTCCCCCATTTCTTTTTCTTTCTTTTTTCTCTTTTGTGGTCCTGGAGTTATTTTCAGGTTGGATATAGTTGAGTGAACAGGGAGACACAGAGAGAGGGACGCATGGGGCACCGGACGCATACACAGCACACGCCTACTCCATCCACACCCAGCGTGGTTCAGCAGAACAATGAGCTCTACAGAGGAGAAGACCAGTTACAATGCCGGTCATGAGTCGGCAACTTTGCGGCAGCCTGGTTCGGGCGATCCGGCAGATGAGAGCTCACCGTCGGCGTTGCAAACACGTCGATTAAGACCTCAGCCAATACGATACCACGCATGACCTGTAGATCGTGCCACGCTTGTAAAATAGGACGATACCCACTAGACTACTAGTCAGCCGCTGACTAGAGGTCTAGTGATCATCGTGCTTCTTAACAAAAGTTAATGGCCGAGTCCGTCAATCTTTCTTTCAAGCCACGAACGAACACGTCCCCCCAGGGTTGCCATCCCTGTGATCAGCGCTGTCTTCTCGACTCATTGTATGCAAGAGGTTCATCGGCCGGCATATATTGCGAAAAGTCTCACAGATGTTTTATTCCCGTATATTGGGCGCAAATAAAATCCTCGAAGGATATAATGCTCAAGGGGGGATTCGAACCCCGGACATAGTCTAAACTTTTGATGTTAAAAAGAACGATAACCACTAGAAGACTACTGTGCAGCGCTGCCGATGTGAAAATAGGCTCCACAAAACTAAGCTGATGGACCTCTTGCACCGATGAAATTCTCCGGGCACGGCGGCAGCGCTTATCCCAGGGCGGGGGGGGTGGAAACCCTGGGGGGGCGTGTTCGTGGCTTGAAAGAAAGCTTGACGGACTTTGACATTGTAACTTTTGTTAAGAAGCACGATGACCATACTAGGCTGACCAGTAGTCTAGTGGTCTTCGTGCTTCCCAAACACGATGAGATGTAATTATTGAAATTTACATTTTGAACAAGTGTTTTATCTACAATTTGTTTTTATGTTTTCACACGTCGAGCTGGCGCAAAAATGTGAAAGTCACTGGGGAGAACGATAGAACAAACCATGGGAGTACATGGTCATCTTTGGGGAAAAGCGTTGCGGTCTGTTCGGGCGCCGTTGTTTTGTGTCGCATGAAGTGGTGTCGCTTGAATTTTTCGCCACTATTGCAATCATTACCGCCGCCGTGAAATCCCGCCGCCGTGGTGGGCGGGACCGGTACAATACCGCCGTTTTACCGCCACCGCCAAAGTCGACACCACCGAAAAACGCGAATACCGCCAACCGCCAACACAGCACCGCCGTATGGCGTTACCGCCAACCAAATTCCACATACTTTTTTCGTTTTACCGCCGCCATCATCACTAAACAAAGTCGATACCACCGAAGAACACAACAGTACTATTAAAGCCTACGGCCAAACAGCAGGTACCGCCATATGGCAATGCCGCCGAAAAATTACCGCCAACTGTTTGTTTTGCCGCCTCCGCCAAAGTCGTTACGGCCAAAGGAGGCATGACCGCCAACCGCCAAAACAAACACCGCCAAATGACATCATTATCGCCGAAAACGACGTGTGTGTCCGTCGCAAAAAAGATACCGCGAGCGAGCGTGAGTACAGTAAACCCTTGCTAAAATGGCATGACGAGCCCTTTTATTGGTACAGTAAATATGAAGTATGTATGTACTGTTTCCTCTGTGTGCTTTTTGCATATTCTTGCATCATCCCTTGCCTTGTTGCTCTCTGTACCCCACTACGGATGGAGCCTTGTACGTACGTCTTCGTACCTACCCATGTGTGAATACCACCTCAGACTGTAGTAGATTGTGACGTCAGATGACCTGTCGGAGATCTACCTTCGGGGTGTTGCCACAGATAGAGTCAGTGTCGGATGGATGCTGAACCTTGCTTCAACACAAGGTTGCTCCCCCCCTTGACTCACAACACAACTATCCGTACTCGCCAGCCTCTCCACCAGAGGTTGAACTGGTGTGTATCCACACCACACATCCCAAAGGGAACTTGCTCACACGCGAACCTGGAGACAACCGTCTCATACTTGTGTGTGTTTCTAACCCAACCGGCTGACCAATGAAAAGACGCGTCAGGCTCAGTGCGGTTGAAAACGCAAAAAAACACTTCTAAATGGCATTAACTGGGACCCCGTGAGGGGGCGGCATGGGGAAGACTAATCGACATATTCTCCGGACCAAAGACAGAAGCGATAGCAACAGAAAAAAACTGCACACGTCTACAATATTTAGGCTGCTATGCATACCTTGCACTCGAGTTCGTCTTTTGGAGTGCTTTCACCATCGTCACCCTCCTTACTTAGACTACTTACCGTTTTGACAGCAACTTTTCGACATTTCTTCTCTGGCCCTGCGTCGTTTGTGGTGGGAAGGTCATCTGGCTCGTAGATCTTTTGCTCTCTTCCACGCCATGATTCCCTCCTCGACTGCTGTTTTGGTCTCTGTCTTGTCCTCCTCTCGTTCCCCTCTCCTCCTCCCTCATCGCTGCCAAACGAATTCCCGTTGTTGCCATCCTGGTCGTTTCCATCTGCACTACTACTGTACCGAGATCCCAACCTGTTCGCCGTCGTAGAAACTAATCAATAAATAAGTAGTCCATGACTTTGAAAACATCGCGAGTTCGCACGGACAGAAAACGAGCCAGCTCGAAGGTAAACCGTCTCCGAAATCCTATAGTCTAGTCTAGATATGAAAAGGCTTTTGAGGCGAAGCAAGGCTGTTTCGTCGTCGAAATTTCCCTCGCACAAGGCTTCATTATATAGATATGCCAAAGTGGTTGGCGATGACTACGTAAGTCGATTTGTGCCTTTGCCAACACCACACCATTCGTTGAAGAAGCAGCAGTAAGGAGGGTAGATCTAGACGGGTTGAAAGTTCCCGCATAGTGATTGCCTTACTTGCAGCTCGATCTTCGAGGGCGGACACATGTGTGTGTCCGCTCCTGCCGCGCTGTACTGTAACAAAAGACGAAACGCCATATCTCGTTTTTCAGCGCCTCCGCGCCACCTTACCCCTCCAATGGCGGCAAACAAAGCTGAGGAGCTTGGTGTGTGATACACACAGCGCATGACGTAGTAGCGCTTTGTGAGCCAGAGGAGTGAAGGCTGTGTGTGTGTGCACGCCTACCGAGGCTGCCGGCCTCGCTCCAAAGAGGTGAGATACCTGTGGTGGATGTGCCCGATTATGCAACGGGTAAGGGTGCGCAATGTGCAACGAAGCCGCGGGACTGTTCAGATTACAACGTGCCTGCATGCGGGGTCATTAGTCGTGTTGTCATCTCTGGCTCTGCTGCCCGATGCAGATCACCGCGTGTGGTGGCTGGTTGTCCTAGAAGTCGTGGAGGTGGGAGCTTTCCCATCTCTGGTTTCAACGGATCTCAATCGCTCCTAACCTTTCACAGTTGGAATGTTGGCTCCCTCATGTCCGGCTATTGTTTTGCGGTGGTCCCGAGAGAACGAATTCGCGCGCTTCTCGCTGTACCCTGGGTACATGTAAACAGCAGACGATTCTCTGGTGCCGACGAACCGTCGGGGATTATTGACGGAAGGATTCTTTGACATGTAGCGTGGCGAGCACACTTGTCCACCGCCCTCAGACAGAACCCAAGAAACGCATCGTAGTTGAGCGCGAGAACCATGCACAAGTGCCCTACCCAAACTATGTACAGGTAAACCTTGATACACGTTACATTCTCCTTCTTCATACGCAGCCCGGCTATTGTAACAGCTCTGGACGCTACAAATGTCGTCGTCGTCAGTAGCAGCAGCAACCGCAGCAGCATCACCCAAGGGCTGCGGAAAAACCGCGGTGGTGGGCGCGTTGCTGTCCCGCGTGCTGGCGACCCCGGGACTGCCGGAGGCGTGCACGGCCTACCAGCACGGGGACCCATTCCTTTCGTACAACGACGGCGACCTGGCGGCTGCTCAGGGACACCTCAGCCTCTTGCGACTCCGACGCGTGCTTTGTCGAGGGGAGAAGAGGGAAAAGAGTGGTCGCGGCAGCAAAGTCAGCCGCGGCGATTGCGGCAGCAGCAGCAGCAGCAGCAGCAGGAGCGGTATCACGGAGGCCGGAGAAAATAGCGGCATAGGCGAACAGGATCAGGAACAATCACAACCTCTCTTGCTAGCGAAGGATGAGTCGGATGCGGGGCGGGAGGGAGATGAACCGCTGCTCGACGATCTGAGGTTTAGCCATCGTGCGGCGGACTGGGCTGCTGCTCAAGGCCACCTGAAGGTTGTTAGGTGAGTTAGTTGTCAGGTGACATGCCATCGTGTTGCTTGCTCTCTCAGCAGTATGCTGCTGCTACTGCTGCTGTCTCTGTGTACAAGTTGGACGAAGTACTCTTCCCCCCCCGTCAGAGGCGCTTTTGTTTGTTTCCGTGCGGAGTAGAACTCGACACGATACGTCGAGGGAGAGAAGCTTGGGCGTCTCGCGGCATGGATCACGCTGAACGGTAAGTCTTGCACGTCTGAAAAAACAAACCGAACTCCCAATGAAGTGCCTGCTGCACTCTTGTACGTACAACACAGTACAATTCGAATCTAACTCTAGCTGCGCTAGGTCACAGTTCTTGGGGCGAGGGGGGGGGGGCGTCCGCTCAGCACCTGCGGATCTGAAGAGCACGGTGGCGACGTTTAGGGGGTGTTGAACATGCTGCTGGACGTGCACATTCTCGACGGCTTGCCACCCACTTTTGCCTCCTCTCCTTTGGCACGAGCTCTGGTTTGTGGGTTTCACATTTACCTGGACTACTCCCCTCTTTTCTTCTTTGGCCTGGGTGCAATTGAGTGAAAATGAGGCGGGGAGAAAATATGTTCTAGTATCTAGTGCCGTCAGAGAGTACGCTGCCCATCTCGTACATGTTTTGACAAAGAGGTCTGGGGTTATTGAGTGACGTGTCCGTCGATCCTACTGTTGTGATGGGTTCAAGAATATTAACAAATATATATTCGCCTAACGAGCAAGGATAAGATTTGGGCCTGAAAAACGTCGAACGTCGCGGCCTAACCGTCCGTGGAAGTTAACTCTTCAGCTGGATTCGAAAACCTCAACATGAATGAGCCCGAGCAAGCAGGTGGGTGCAGAGAACCACGAATACCCTCACTTTCTTCCTGTGGATACAATGTTTTCTCTCAATTACGGTCTGGGAATAGGTGGCTATTGGACAACAGAGATGAGGGCTGTACCGAGAGTGCTGTGGACGGGGCTTGCTGGAACGGCCACGACGCCACGGTGCACTGGCTCGTGTGCGAGCGGAAACAAGCGGGGTCGGAGCGTGCCTTGGACTACGCCGCGTCTACCGGTAGAATCGAGGTAACCCAATCCGCGGTGTTTTTCGTTCCACAGCCCAACCCGAATGGAAATACCGCCAACAAAAACCTTGAACAACAACACAGACCACCACCACCATTACACCGTCCCGACCGAAAAAAAAAATACATGCCGCCAGTCAGCCCATCTCGCTTGACGCCCCCCCCCCCCCCTCACTTTCGCCCCTGCCTCGGCTCTTGCCTGCATAGCTGGTGAAGTGGCTCTCCCGGCGGCCAGGCTCGACCTGCACGGTGGCGGCCATGGACGGCGCGGCGGGGGGTGGCCACCTCGACGTGGTCCGCTGGCTTGCCGGCAACCGGCAGGAGGGGTGCTCGCAGGCGGCCTTCGAGATGGCTGCCTCGAACGGTCACTTGGACGTGATCCAGGTACAGGCATACATGCATGAGTAGGAGAGGTGGACACCACGAGGGAGACAGAAGGAGCCGAGGGGGGGGTCACGGGCTTTGATTTGTAGACTACACAGAACGAGAGGGGCTTGGTTTGGTTTGGCTGTGTTTGATCGAGGTTGGTTTGGTTTTCAGTCGCTTTGAATATGGTGGACACGTCTCGATCATCTTGGGCGAGGTACTTACGTGGGTCAGGACGTGCTTGAGCCTTGCCGTCGCCGAGAGTCCCTCGAAGAGTTGCTCGAGTCGCTCAACCGAAACCCATATTTTATGAAACTTGGCGATATTTACGACATGTATACCTCTTCCCGGTATGTAGCCTCGCTTACACCTCGGTCGTTCTCGCAGACGTAAACGTCATGCATTGCACTCAGCGCGGAGCCGGGTCTTCCTTTGTTTTGTCTGTTCTGTTATCTTTTTCCGTTCGCCAAACGGCGTGTCGCCAAGCGCCTACAGTGGCTTGACGATGCCGGGCTCCTTCGTTGTTCTTCGACGGGCTTGGACAGCGCCGCAGGAGGCGGGCACCTCGGTGTTCTTCAGGTACTGCCATGTCTAAGACCTTCGTCGACCGGGCTATATTAGCGTGCAGGACGCGAGTCCAAAGAGTACCATAAAAAGACACTTTACGCCTATCGAATATAGTCACCCTAGAATTTTTAGGATTGGGTGGCGAAAGAAGGATGTCCTCCATTCCTTCCTTGCTGCTTGACGGCGCGTACCGAGAGAGGGATGTTTCCAATACGTGATCGTGTCTCTGCAGCATACCGAAATGCTGGGCAGGTTGGAGTATGTGGTAGCTTCGGGGCAGCTGGCTTTAACCTGATTTCGTGCCAGAAAACGAAAACGCGGTACTAGCTTCACCCTAGGCACACGGATGAGCAAGCCTTGTTGCCTACGCTTTTCGAAGGTCTGGCTTTCACTAGGTTTTCGTAACGGCTGGGTTGGCCGCATACTGCAGCTAAGCATGCTGTGGCCAAGCATTCTGTGGCCAAGTGTTGCCACCCTGTATTTTGGCGCGGATGGTGAGTGACACTTCAGAGAGAAACCTGGCGCGTTTTCCCGGATCGACAAGGTCGCCCCGGTGGTCTAGTTGGTAACCTCGAAACCTTCTAGAGGTCAAGTCAGGGTTCGAATCACGGCGTAAGCGAGCTTTTCTTGCAAAGTGAGTTTTTCTCTCGCTTCCGCTCCTGGCCTAGAGGATAGCGCTATAATAGTTCGTGTGTACACAGAGGGAAGAGAGTGCTGAACTTTTCCCGCATTAAAAATCGAAGGCAACGTACCGCAGGAGGGGAGGGTAGAGAGGGGCCCTTCTGTGTGACCACGGGTTGGAGTAAACCGCAATAATGGTGTGAGCGCTGATTTGAAGGGAAGACAAAAAAAAAAGAAGCTTAACCCCGTGAGCCACGTCCTTGTCGTGCGCGTGTTTTTACCCCGTGGACATCGATCTGTCTGCAACCAGTGGATGTTGGACCACAAGGAGCACCACCGATGCTCGTCCAACGCCTACGGGCTTGCCGCAAGCCGAGGGCACCTTGACGTCTGCGAGTGGCTGCAGCTGTGGATGCCAGACCTGCGATGTCCTGCCTGGGCAGCGGAGGCTGCAGCCGCGGCGGGACACCTCGAAGTGAGTGTTTTTTTCGTCTGTCGTAGCATATGTTTCTCTGTCCCCGTTGGCTTTTGCGGATCCGACCGTCCCTTTGGGATCTACGCCTGAGCACACCTGCTGGTTGACGTTTTTTCGAAGTTGTTCTTAACACCAGCCTTTGAAACTCTGCCTGTAGGACATATGGAGCACCCCGATCTACCCCTTTCAAATACTATTTGGATTGTAGTGCCTACCACCTGCTGTGTTGGCAAGGCTTGACTCGTTTTCGCGCTTTACAGTGACTCCAAACCACACATATTTCCTTCCCAAACAGAAGAATCACCAAACTCCCGTGAACGAAATGCAGGTAGTTCGCTGGCTCCACGCCTCCGGCATCTGTCGGGCCTCTCTCGCCAACCTAGACGAGGTGGCGCGCGAGGGCCAGCTGCGCGCCTTGATCTGGCTCAGCGAGCGTGGCGCCAGGGCCAGCACCTCGGCGGTGGACAGGGCGGCCGAAGCCGGGCACCTAGGCACGGTGGAGTACCTTCTGCACCACCGGCGAGAGGTTGGTTTGGTTCCGTTTTGAGTGCTCTTGGGAGGTTGGTTTGGTTCAGTTTTTAGAGTTCGCGGGTAGGTTTCTCGTTGCTGCGCGGTTGCTTTGGCCTGGCGATCGACGCCCCCCCATACGCCCAATACTCCCTTCTGTCCTAGGTGGCAGGCGGCCTTAAGCGTTCTTCCAGAATATGTATACCACTGAGATGTATGAAGCACCCGACGAAATGCTTAGAAGTGTGGAAAATGTTTTTTTTTACCATGCACCCAGGCCCCACTTAACCGTATCAACATATCAACATTACAAATGTCGCCGCCAAGACCAGGTGCTGCAGAATGCGTGGTAGGTCTTTTGGTTCGTCAGCAGGTAGCCAAGTAGGTAGATATCGCAAGTGCGGGTCGATAAATGGATGGATCAAGTGTCGATCTCACCTATAGCATTGAAGCAACGGGCACCGGCCGCAAGCCTTGAGCATTGTGCCCCTTTTTTTCAGGGATGCGGGTTCGGCGGTACCCGTAATTACTCGTAACACCCTCCAGACGTACGTAACTAGTTACATCCCACGTAACTTTTGCGGTAACTTGGGGGTTTGGGATTTATTTGGGGCAACGGGGCGACCCCCGACAGATTTAATACACTAGAATAGTATCCAGAACATCATTTACCGCTGCTGCAGGTGGGAGCAGTTTGAAGCTTGAAGAACACAAGCATGTCTACCGCACGCAGTATACACGTATACACGTGTACGCGTGTACACAAGGAAGACTCATGTCAACCCCTGAATCCCTTATCTCTACGCCTTTGTGTCCTACTTCTACGGTGTTTAACACCACATACGGTGTTTAACACCCCATGCGGTGGTCAACACCCCGGGGACGACGAGATTCCGTCCCCGGTATGCCGCTGTAATTACGCGTACGTAACACAATTTTGTTGATTTCCCGTCATTACGGGTACGTGCCGGCCGGGAAACGCCGTAACCCGCATCCCTGCTTTTTTTCGGTATGGGGTATTGACAGGCAGTGTTTGTCTTGATCGGTATCGGTTGCCATTGTCGATGGATGTACAGCTTTCCAGCAATCAACTGCACGACCTTGAGAGGACAGTGGGTCCATAGTCGAACCTTTGAATGACCAGCTTTGAGGACGGCGAAAAAAGTAGCGATTCCTACTCAATAATACCATGATGAAGCAGATCCGAAGCCGACTGAAAATTGGCAAAGATGCGACTAAATGCCATGAAGAGCGTCATCGATGTCGACGGATAAAGTTCGACGTGTTCGTGCGTGTTTTTCTTTTGTTCGCATCGGCCACGCAACGGGTTGACCTAATTCATGCGATTCAAAGAAAAGCATCACACACGAAGGTAGGCTTCTACCCTGCGGACTCCGCTGACGAAGGGGTGGGGGCGGAGAGAGGGGGGGCGAACGGAAGAAACGACACCAATGCACGTACCACAGGCAAACGACTGGCATTTTCCCACTCTCTCTCTCGCTCGCTCGCTCGCTCTCTCTGACCGAATCGTCATATGAGTGTGCGCGCATCACAACCCAGGGGGGGGGGTGTACTCATACTCATAGTCGTGCATGCCGTAGTCGTTAGACCATTGACCTCGCATCCCTACAATGCCGGGACGGAGCACGCCGGGTTCTCACCGGACCAGGCTCTCACATCACCAAGCGCGAAGCGCCGTGAGGTAGTCGGCGAGTCGCATGAAGGGTGAACTGCATCCTGCTAAGGGTGTTCGGCATCTTGTGCTTACTTCCTTGCGTACGGATGACAGCTGCGTATGACTTAATTTATTTTTCTGGTGCTTTCACTTCCAGAGACAGTTGTATGCACTGTGTAACTGCCTCGAGGGAGCTTGACCATTTTAACACAACGTGGTACGATCATCCCCTTTGCGCGGAGTGAGGGTTCTCGACCCCGCACAACATGATCTACTCGACCACCGTTATAGTTACCGAAAGAAGAAAAAACAGAGGCAGAAAAAATAAGCGGTAACCTGTTGCCGAGCTCACGAAGTGATCGCCTTGTTTTACAACGTCGTTGCCAAGCGACGAAAACCCAACCCCGATGGCAAACACCGAGGAGGGGGGGGTGTACTCATACTCATAGTCGTGCATGCCTTAGTCGTCAGACCATTGACCTCGCATCCCTACAAAGCCGGGAACGAGCACGCCGGGTTCTCACCGGACCAGGCTCTCACATCACCAAGCGCGAAGCGCCGTGAGGTATTCGGCCGCATGAAGGGTGCGCTGCATCCTGCTAAGGGTGTTCGGCATCGTGTGCCTTCTTCCTTGGGTACGGATGACAGCTGGGTATGACTTAATTCATTTTCTGGTGCTTTCACTTCCAGAGACAGTTGTATGCACTGTGTAACTGCCTCGAGGATGCTTGACCATTTTGGTCGAGGACGGGGGGGGGGAAGATTAGATCGAATTGAAAAGGAAGATGCAGGATAAGTTTAAGTTATTTGCTCCAGAGGACTACACCACTGACTTTCTTTCCACTTGGAGGTGTCTAATAGGTTGTCGTGTTCACTTTTTCTTCGTGCACCCTCGCCATTCATTTATGGCTTATTTTCCCTGGTTTGTGATGAATAAAAACATTCTGTATTTTTGAGGGGACGTAGGTCGTCACGCTAACTCTCTATCGTTAGTATACCCTACCAAACATTGACGTCTACACCAACCAATTCAATAAAAATGCAACAATTGATAATAATGAAATACTATTGTCGTGTGGATTTTTTATGTCACTCAAGTCCTCAAGTGTTTCGACGTTGGGGGAGATCCCCTTGATTATTTTTCAAGCGACGTATCGCATGTATATCTTGGACTATTGTCGAAGGAGAGATATGAGTTTATTGTTGTTGTTGTTGTCTTCACATTCAAAACCGTTCCGTTCTCTCTGCCCAGTACCTTCTTCTGTCTGTATTATACTAGTCTAACACTTGACGGGGTCGATTCCCGTGGTCACAGGCTAACTTTCCGGGAAAAGGTGTATACGAAAATAAAACGGGCCCGAAGGGTCCGCAAGCCAATAAAAGTCAACGACCGATAGTCTAGGCCACTCCGCTCGTCTCTACACGCTATGCGAGGTAACCCTAGATGGGAAAAAGAAAGAAAAGAGAAAAAGAAAAGAAAAAGAAAAGAAAGGGAAAAATAAGAAGAAGAAGAAGAAGAAGAAGAGAGCAGATGGAGAAAAGAGAAAGTGAAGGAGAAAGACCCAGACAGAGAAAGACACACACCTTAGCGACAGACAACAAACAAACAAACAGAGCAACGCAAGACAACCCCAAACAACACAACACAAAACGGGCCACCCGAGCCAGCACATGCACGTTATCGCTCGCGGGGGGTTGGTGCAATGGTGCGGTGCCGGGGGGGGGGGGGATGAGTCAAGCAAGGCGTTCAATTCGGCACGGTGTTTCGCGTCACTCGTCCGCCTCTTCGCGTTTCCTGTCTTTCCTCGCCGTCTCGTCCGCCTGCTGTACCCCTCCCGCCCCCGTGGTTGTTGCCGTGTTGTTGCCGGGCTTCTTGTTTCGTTTGAGCGCTTGTTGTGGGCTAGCCTCCTCTTCCTTCTTGTGCCAAGAGGCCATGAATCTCTTAGCTCCTTACAGTACCCCTGTATGCCACGGTACCCCCCGGTCCACCTTCGCTGCTTCCATCCAAGTTTTTTTCAGGACTCCGAAGAAGCATGGCTCGGCGTCCGTAGATCCGTGCTCTGCTCCGAACATCTTGAGGTCGTCCTTCAGGCACATCTGCCAGTTTTGCTCGGTATCTCCCCGCCTGGGCCCTCCCCCCTCACCAGCTCGCCAGGCATTTTCCGTTTCGGGAGTCGCCCGTCTGGTTGCCTTGCCAGCGCTCCCGCAAACAGCAGGCGGCGTTGCCGAAGCGTGGTTTCCACTCTCTGGCACCCTACCCTCTTCAGGGTCTGGGCGTAGGAAGGCTGCCGGTACGTGCCCTTCTTGCGTTGGTAACCGATAACTCGCAGGAGCAGTCGGCGGTGTATCGTCCGCAACGTCCGGTATTGGTCTTGACGTGGGGCCCATGTCATGCAGCCGTACGGCAGTGCCTCCATCGCCTCGGCCTGGAGCAGGCGAGTCTTGAGTCGGAACGGTGCTTTCGGCCTGTCGAAGAGCTCCTGGCGTTTTCTCCTGACGCATGCCCACGCTGCTCTGCTCCGGTAATTGATCTCCCGGGTGAGGTCGCCATGTTTGTTGACGAGGCCATCTAGGTACCGGAACTCGGTCGTCTGGGCGTACCTCTGCCCTGCTGCCTCAGATGATCAGCGGTGGGGGGGGGGGGGGGGGGGGTGGTTGTTGTGTGCTTCTCCTTTGCGCGCATCAGGAGCGTCTCCGTCCTCTTGTCCGATACCGTCAGCTCGAACTTCCCGACCACCTCCACGATGACGGTCATCATTCTCGCCAGTCCTTCGGCAGACCTCGATACGACGCCGGCGTCATCGGCATACAGCACCCCCCATACCGCCCTCCGCACTCGGTCAAGTGGTGTCCTCGCCCCCGCTCCCGTCTCCTCCTCCAGGTACACCAGGTTCTGCAGAATAACATCATCTCGCTGAATCGAATGGCAACGACCTCGATGACCGCGGCGAAGAAGATGTTGAACAGCAGTGGGGACAGCACACACCCTTGTCGTAGGCCTTGTGTGACCCAGAACCAGGCCGATAGTTCTCCGTCGTCCATGCGCACCCGGGCCCGCATTACGTCGTGGAATTGGCGGATGACGGCGATCATCTCCTCAGGAATCCCGGCCATGGCTAGGACCTTCCACAGCAGCTCTCGGTCCACCGAATCATACGCCTTCTTCAGGTCGACGAAGCACATGTAGAGTGGTATTTTTCTTCTCCGCCCCAACTCCTGGAGTCGACGCACGACGAACAGATATCGTTGGTGGATCGCCCAGGTCGGAACCCGCATTGTTCCTCCGGGAGGATGTTGTTGGTTTCGCAGAAGGCGCTTAGGCGGTTGGTGATGATCTTGATGGGGGCCTTGCCTACGCGAGATAGGAGCGAGATCCCCCTGAAGTTGTTGCAGTTGGACCGGCCACCCTTCTTGTACAACACCTTGATGGTTGCATCCTTCCACTCTTGGGGGATCTCTCCTCCGTTCCACACCTCAACGAGGATGGCACGGAGGTGCTCCAGGACGATGGGTTCCTCGTCGTCGTCGTCGATCTTCAGCAACTCGGCAGGGAGGGAGTCAGTCATTGCCGGGTGTCTTCCAGTTCTGCAGTCCTTCCGTTGCCCGTTCCACTTCCTCGAGGTCTGGCACCGCTCCCAACCTACAATATAATCAATGCGGACCCTGTGTGCGTGTGTTTCGAGCGGGAAAAAATATTGAAAGGAAAATAATAGAACCCCCTCGTCTTGCTTGCGAAGAGCGATCTATCCGTTCTCGCGGCTCTTACCCGGGTTTTGTTGGTGTTGGTCTTGGACTTACATTTCCGACGGGATCGACAGTTTATAAGTCACGATCGAAAAAACATTTAACAAAATATTGGCACGTGTTCGTGCGCGTCAGCAGCAACAGGGTGGTATTTCTCTTGCTTCCGAAATCCCGAAGGAACGAAGCAAACGGAACGGGGAACACCCTTCCTTGAGATAATCGCCGCATCACTACCGCTCTGGTTGATAAGCTTCTAGCGGTACTACTGTAACGCGGCGGACTGAGCTGCTCTGGAGACTTGAGACTTACCGCAGGTGCTCGCTGAGAAGCAAGACAACGTGCTCATTTTGGATGCTGCACCCACGTGGAAAACCTTGAGTGCTGTTACAAACGCAACTCGGTGTGACCCTCAAAGATCCCGACATCTATGCTTAACTAGGTTTTGCTTTAACCCGCTACCGAGGGCAGGCAGTTTTTTTCCGTTGGTATGTACTTTGGTCAAGAGGAGCTTAGGGTCCAGAAAGGCCGTTGGCGGGGCGGTGGCACAAGCGACCTGCCGCCGGCTCATGCCAGCGAAACTGGCATGTGGTTGAACAGAAGAGCCGTGTATCCATCCTCGTCTCCCGGCGAGTTTCAACGTTCTCGTAACAGATCTTCCCACACTTGGAACACTTCGAACGTGTCGGCATGGATCATGGATCCTACGTTTCCAATGTACATGTACCTGCCATCCATAGAAAGTTATACACCGTAAATACATAAGTATATGTATACTAGTACATATCTTCGTTGTTCCAATTTTTCGGGTTTCCGAAGATCTCCATTTTGATTTCGTGGCTATGAAATCAGCTGCCGGAAAGACTTTATTCTTCGTATTATTCCCAATTCCAAAGATGATTGAGAAAATAATAACCCAAAACAAACATCGAAGGCCGAAACTTGCCTATCCGTCACATAATACCAATCACTCATCGAATCTCCGAAGAAGCCAAGAAGAAAATGCCTGTTCCCCCGCAATGTACCAACTATAATCTCCGTAGATCCATGCCCCACATTCAACCATCATATGATACGAGTATGTCTGACATGCGAAACGGTTGCATCCATACATGAAAATCTGGAATATCATGCAGCGATCTTCAAATACATAATGCACAGTCTACATGTATGCATACCTGTAGGATGTAGGACATTCAACAACTGACTGCTGTGGTGCACCTACATACGCCCATCCGTAGGCATTTATTCAGTGGCACATTGACGGCAGGCGGTTACTTAGTCTGTCCTTGAGAAGGGTTCAAGTATCGTCCTAATGGACTAAATACTTGTTGACGCATACATGCATGGCCCTGCACTTACTTATTGCATAGACAGGTACACAACAATCCGATGGGTTGTACAGTATGCATCACACTTTGGAGGAGCTGGTACATCACTTTCGAAAAATGTCTCAATAAGTGACTGGCCATGCAAGCAATTGATACAGTAGGTGCATATCGATGCCTACTTAGAGGCAGACATAAGCGGCCACGTGGAGTAGAACCTTGCCTGATGCCGGTCGGCTATGGTCTCAGCATCTTATCCCTTGTTGCCCAGGTTGCGATTTATTTCTGTCTCGCACCCTACCAACAAATAACTTCGGCACCTTTACAGTAGATGAACGCGCCTTTCTCGAGAGGTTTTGGTAGTATAGGCGGTACGCTTTGCGTTCAGTTTTTTTCTCTCGTCACGCGTACACTGGCGTGTGTCTCTTGTTGTCAGGGCTGCTCGTCAGAGGCGCTCGTCGGGGCAGCGCGCAACGGCCATCTCGCCGTCGTCAAGCGTCTGCGAGAGCTCCGTCCGGAGCAGCTCGCGTGCCACGGCCTCAAGGCGCGTGCGGTCGCCGCGGCCGCCGGGCACGGGGCGGTGTCCCGATGGCTCGACGAGGACGATCCCGACCTGCTTCGCGCTCTGCAAGAGGCGGTGGTGTCGTCAGAGTCCAGCATCGGTAGTGGCGGCGGAATCAGCAGCAGCAGCAGCGAAAGCAGCAGCAGCGGAGGCAGCAATGGTGATGATGGTGATGATAGCAGCAGCAGTGTACAGCAGGCCGACGGTTTTGAAGAGGAAGAAGACGGAAGTTTATCGGAGGAAAAGAGGACGAGCACAATAGCGCGACCGGACGAGTCGGAGTTCAGCAGCGGCGGCGATGATGATAGCAGCAGCACCAGCAGCAATTATCAGCAGGCGGAGTGCGACGACGAAGACGACGATGACGACAGCAGTTTCTTCAGCGCTTGCAGCACGAGCGAGGATCCCGATGACGTCGGCAGCTGCTGTAGCAGAGACTCCAAAGACGGTGTTGTTACGTGTGGGGTTGCCAGCGGCGACGACGGTGACGAGGGAGGTTGGGCCAACAACTGCTTGGCTCCGGCGGACTCCGCGCATAGCAGCCGCCATCTTGGCCCGCAGGGTTTCGACGGGCGCGGATGACAGACAGGCTGCTGACGCCGTCACTGCCGCGGCGACGAGGAACCACAATTGTACCGTAGCGCCATCGTCCGTGCCGAAGCCACTAAACCGTGCTACGTCTACGTTTGTTTTCCTGTGCGGGGCGGTTACTCCGAGGAGGAGAGGGAGGAGGACGAGGAAGAAGAGGGATGCGAGCGCGTGAAAAAGCAAGCAGAAAAGAACCGGCGCACGACCGGCGAATTACGGTTTCAGCGTCACCCACCCGTGTTTTTTGGAGAGAACTGGTGGGATGCGGGCGCCAACGGCCTTGATGGAGGTGTTTTGCGCCAACGCACAGACGACGACGGTGGCAGCGGCGGTGACGACGCGTGAGGGTTGAGGGTTGACCACGTTGACGGTATGTTTTACCAGCCCCTTGCCTGGCCGACCAAAGCGACAACTTGATGGACCCCGGGACCTAGTCGCCGGTGGCGCGAAGCGTGATCGTCCTCTTTGCTTGGGGGCGAGCATGGCAGGAATTTGGAGAGGTACATGTCGTGAATGGCGTGTGAAGGGTCAATTGTGAACAAACACACGCACGTGGGTAGGGTTTGGATAGGGGCGTTTCGAGTACCGAGGGAGAGGAATGGTAGGGCTGTCTTGTGGTTACAGCAGTATGCAGGATGGGTGGGGAGGGTGGGTGGGTGGACGCCACGGCCGGCTTGAGGCTCGCTTTCCCTCTGAAGTTCCTTGAAAGGAGTCCGAACGCAAACGCATGAACCAACGTTTTTTTGTACCGCCGTTGTGTACTCCTGTAGCGCCGGCTATATGCCGCGAGAGTGCTCTGGCTCGAGTGAACACGCACCACTGAAAGGAATGCCCCCCCCCCAAGCACAATCCAGCATCGCTCCCGTCTCGTCGTTGTAGCGAAGCGATGCGTGGCCCATGGACGAACGTCTCGGCCGGCGTTCGCCCCCCCCCCCCGCCCCCTTCCGCCATCACGGCC